AGAAGGTTTTTTTTTTTTTTTTTTTTTTGACAAATATCAAGTTGAAGAATGCATGACGTTACCGGTTACTGAGCTGTATGCTCGGCACAACGTCTATATTTGAGCTTCTTAACTAGACACACACACACAGATACATACATACATACATACATACATATATATATATATATATATCAAGTTTACATTTTGTTTGCGATAAAGCTGTATTTGAACAAAAGTACAACCATTTCAATGATATCTCGATCTGCTGAGATGTTCTACCTTGGATACATCCAGTTAGTCATTCTTGTACTTTAGTGAGTAAAAAGAAAGGGAAAAAAAATGAATACTGGTCTTTGTTTTGTATTCAACTTCTGGCTTTGGATATAGAGTACTCTGTCCTCAACGCTTACCCCTTTACATCCCAAAATGAAAGAATCATTTGGAACTGCATATGTTTTAGCAACTTCTCTACTTGGTCAGGTTTCTTACAAATGGCTGAGTCGCAATTACTTGCTGTCATCAAATTCTGCAAAGAGGTAAGTTTTGTTATTTAAACTCGCAAAAGCATCTTTCAACTCCATGTTAATCAATATATACAATATAAATATGATTTCTTCTTCTGTAGGCTGCTCCAAGAATTTGTTGAAAAGCATGGAAATGGATTTGAAGTGGTGTATGCGTTGTCTGGCTGGTTGAAGGGTGACTCTCCAAGCTATCATATAAGACTCGTTACAGGGACAAAACTTGAAGGTATTATTGCTGTAATATTTTACCTGGTACAGGTTTATGGTAATATCGTTTCCGATTTATGTGCATTAGAGAGAGTAGATTAATGAAGCCACGTGATGATTCATTTTTAACTTCATGTATTTTCTTCTCTGAAATGTTGTGTTGACCTATCCTTCAATGATCTTGTTAAGGAGAATCAGATGGGTTTCTTTCACTTCCTTGATTATATGGCCCCAAATGTATCCCTTTTTAACTTCTTAAGCAACTAAGTAGTTTACCTTTTCAGGAAACATCGTTATTGAATTTTGAAAATTTTGATTATCATGTGTGTGTGTGTGCATTTATGTGGTGTACGTGGCAGTCTTTCATTGTTCTCTATCATTTGGAAAGAGGAATAGTGTTGGACTCTTTTCTCCTGAATTTTATGCAGAAGCAAAACAAGAATTTGATGGCAGCTGCTCAGTTCAGGTTTATAGCGTGCAAGCTTGCATACCAAAGGATCCAGCTGTACTTTGGAATGTTGAATTTGTACAAGCAGAAGAGCTCTTTAAGCAGCCTTCAACGATTGACAATTGCCTGAGAGATAACAGGTATATATGTTGCCTCTTCATTTGATAATGACAGGTATAGGGTTTATAGCGTGCAAGCTTGCATACCAAAGGATCCAGCTGTACTTTGGAATGTTGAATTTGTACAAGCAGAAGAGCTCTTTAAGCAGCCTTCAACGATTGACAATTGCCTGAGAGATAACAGGTATATATGTTGCCTCTTCATTTGATAATGACAGGTATATATGTTGCCTCTTCATTTGATAATAACAGGTATATATGTTGCCTCTTCATTTGATAACTTCTGGAAGTATAAAGTTCATCTGTGTATTTTGCAGTAAATGAAGTTGAATTGGTTGTAGTTACAGTTCAAGGAAAACACTTTTTACAACACTGTAGCTCTTTGATAAGGCCTTAGTTTTCTTTTAAAGTTTGGTGAACACGTTTAGATATTTTTTATTTTATTTTATTTTTTCATACGATGATGTTTTCTTATT